CTATGGGGTGCTATGGGGTGCTATGGGGCGCTATGGGGAACTATGGGGTGCTATGGGGTTCTATGGGCCGTTATGGGGCGCTATGGGGAACTATGGGGTGCTATGGGGCGCTCTGGGGCGCTCTGGGGAACTATGGGGTGCTATGGGGTTCTATGGGCCGTTATGGGGTTCTATGGGCCGTTATGGGGCGCTATGGGCCGTTATGGGGCGCTATGGGGCACTATGGGGCGCTATGGGGCGCTATGGGGCGCTATGGGGCTCTCTAACCCTAACCCGCCCCCCATGCTGCCCCACTTTGGGCTCCCGCCCCACAGGGCGACGGCCGTTACCTGGTGTCCAACTCCAAGGACCAGACGGCCAAACTGTGGGATCTGCGGCGCCCCGCCGGGCCGGGGGGGTGGAGGCGGCCAGGAGGGCTGTGGCCAAACAGAGCTGGGACTACAGGTGGCAGAGGGCGCCCAGGAGGGGTGAGCGGAGCTGTGGGGCGGCTATGGGGTGATATGGGGTGATATGGGGTGATATGGGGTGGTTATAGGGCTGTATTGGGCTCTGTGGGTTCTATGGGGTGCTATGGGTTCTATGGGGTGCTATGGGGTTCTATGGGGTCAGAGCTGGGACTACAGGTGGCAGAGGGCGCCCAGGAGGGGTGAGCAGGGCTGTGGGGCGGCTATGGGGCGGCTATGGGGCGATGGGGGGCGATATGGGGCGGCTATGGGGTGATATGGGGTGCTAAGGGGTGTCTATAGAGCTTTATAGGTTCGCGTGGGTCTCTATGGGTCTCTATAGGTCTCTATAGGTCTCTATGGGTCCCTATGGGTCCCTATGGGTCTCTATGGGTCTCCATGGGTCCCTATGGGTCCCTATGGGTCTCTATGGGTCCCTATGGGTCCCTATGGGTCTCTATGGGTCCCTATGGGTCTTTATGGGTCCCTATGGGTCTCTATGGGTCTCTATGGGTCCCTATGGGTCTCTATGGGTCCCTATGGGGTCCCTAAGTGGCACTTCCGGTCACATGACCCCCCCCCCCCCCCCCCC